AAGGTGTCTGTTGCAGAGGAAATTGAAGTTTTTAGATCATCGAAAGCTATAATTACTAAACACCTTGAATCAGTTGAAAAGTTCCCTTGAAAAACTCATCTCTTATGCTTGCTCCTATGAACGAACCCAAAATCTTAAAAAGAATCAACTTTTCGCTTGACTTACTTAACCAAACTCTGTGCTTCGCAGTCAACAGATTTGCTATAAAATCTTGTATCCACAATAATCCATTCAAAATAAACAAGCTTTATAATGTCGCAACTCTATAAGCTCACGAGCTTAATATAAAATCACAGTGATTTTCAAAAGGCTAATAAATTTTATTTCATCTCAAGACTAGTTATGGTTGAATGAAAGCTAACAGGACGATCAGAATTAAACATTTACAGTGTGAGAAATGAATCGAAACAAGAATAAAAATTAAGAGATGTAGACATAGCAAAGATGTCGGCTTATTCTCAAGTTTAGAACTGGAAATTATAAAAGAATTATGTCAACAAAGATGAACCGTTTTGATTTGATTCTTTTAATCTGTTGTTGAATATTTTTTGCGGATCTGCTTTATGTTAAATTTATTAGGCATTCTAAAAGCCATTCACAGTGTTAAGGTTTGGCTTTAAAATAAATCACAGCATTCCATCCCGTATAAATCCAGAACTAATTCAATGAATTCAACATAAAGCCCAACATAACCAGCACAATTCCAAAACCGATCTTACAAAATCATCAAGAAATAAAAATTCTTGTAAGAATTAAGTTCATAATCTCATCATGCATGACGAGGAAATCACTTGAAAACAAGTTGTTCTGCAGTGTAAGAACAAGAAAAATTCCATAAAGTTCTAAAGTTCCTATAAAAACATGCAGTATGACATAATCATACAACTACATAAAATAATGAAGCATTCATAATTACTAAAATTACTTTTATGGTTTATTAAATTAATTTTTATAGTTAATTACATCAGTGATCATCTTACAATCATTAGACTGTAAACATTTATGCTTCTTCATCCAATTGTCTATAATTTGAGATTCAAAACTCGCAACAGAAAAATTGTTCAAATTTAAAGTTTAAGAATTGATTTAACATGAAAAACTCGTTAAGCTATTTATCCTCAATTCCAATAATTCATCAATTTGAAATGTTTAAATCCATCTGTTTAAAACCTCAAATGATTCATTGAAACCTCATCAAAGAAGAGAGTCCCGAGCTCAAAGATCAATCAATTCGCATTGAATAATTTACAACATTAAAACCTCAACTACACACGTACATCATCTAATTAATCACATAATCTGTAAACAGCAACAAAAAGGAGAAATAAGACACACAACAAAGAAGTAGTTAATAATTGTAACAAGATGCGCACATCCACAAAAGAACAAATAAACAATAATCATAATGACTTTCTGTTGCGAAGCATCAGAGATTATCACAATTTTCCTTTCGTTCTCATTCTCGCGGGTAAAAACAAGCAATTTTCAGTCGTGTTTATGATGAAGAAATCAGACTGAAGAGATGTGGAAGAAAATTTCCGCAATTCTTGAACAAAATTAACTGTTAAATTAGTCAGAAAATTTCTTCATTCGTTCTTCACATGCTGCTGTTGCCTTCTCTTTAAATTAAATCTCTAAATATAATAGACTTAAGAGATTCCCTTTCTTACAAAACAATACGTTAAGTTAATTACTTTCTATATGCTGTGTTTTCGGTAAATGAAAATTTTTTGGCGCGATTTTGTGTCAGACACTGCGTTTTCTTTACAATCTGTTGGATCTTGTTGTTTACGCACTAAAATCTCATAAATTACAAGGTTTAAAATATAATAAAGTTCTTCAAGATGATAATTTGTGCTGTATCATTGGGTTGTACAACCTTAACTTTTTTTTGTACAAAACTATCATTTATCTTAATTAATTTTTGGGAGGTTCCATGAAAAGCTTGCAGCAACATTGAGAGAAAATTGAACATGACTTTTAGAGAAGCGAAGATTTTCATGCATTAATTGAGTTCAACAGGGGTCGTCTTATTTGGTTTTATGCTAGGATATACCCTGAATCTTCAGCTACCGACATTTTGCATCATAAAATCAAAATTTGAAAGTAAAAAGATGCCTCACAAGTCCATTTAAAATAACAGTCAATTTATGTATTAACATACTACCGTATTAACTTCCAAGAAGAATAGCAAATAGCATAGAAGTGAGAGGGAAATTTAAAATAAAAAGAAATTATAGAATGGACCTTTAAAAAGTGAATCAAACTGTTTCTTACACATTTAGATCTAATAATATACAAGAAAACATTATGTATACATGAAAATGAAGATGATTCATGGATTATGCTGAGAAAAAAAAGGTATAAAAAATTATTTAAAGATGATGTCATGAGAAATAAGAGAAATTTACAACATAAAACGGTCCATGAGTATAGAAATAGATAGATAGATGGATAGATTGAGTTAGAGAGTATCATGTAACACATATACCCAAATTTTTCTCTGTTGTTCAAAAACGAAGGTATATTAAGACGACGACGAGATACCTTAAATTGTAAAAAAAGAAGAAAACGAAAGAAAAAGAAAAAAATATCATGCACGTACACAAAATGGCTGCCATGCGCTGCACTATTCTCTGTGTATATATTTTTTAAGAAATGTTTTAAGAAAAGCCAGCATAAAGAAGAGACACGAAAATATTTTTTTATAATGCACAACACACAAAAAAAAAATCTCGGATTCTTCTTTTTAAGGGCATTCTAAAGAGATATTATTCTTATGCTGGTGCTCACATGATCAGTCTCATATCACGATATTGAACTCATCTTATCCCCGTGCTTACTTTGCGCGCGATTCCTTAAACATGCGTAAGATTCTTCTTGTTCTTTTAAATTTGATATTTTTTGCGCTAAGTATAAATCCATCAATTATGGACGAATGCTGAAAATGTTAAGTCAAGAAGAAGTTATCAATCTACAAAAAAGTTAAATATCAAGTTGATTGTTTTATGGTTGATCTAATTAATTTTTTCTCATTTTGCCTTAAAATGGTCTATAATATGATTTTACCTTTTTCGTATTAGGGGCTGTTCACTTATTACGTAACGCGAAAAAATGACTTTTTAACCCCCCCCCCCCAGTAACAAAATTTGTATGAAAAAAAAATTTCCTTGTTTGAACCGTAACAAAATCTTAGACCCCCCTCCCCCCCTAAAAGCGTTACGTAATAAGTGAATGGCCCCTTAGATTTTCGGCCATTTATGCTTCAGGGTCAGCGTTCTTTTTATGATTTTTTTCGTTTGCCTTTTTTGTTCCATTCTGTCCGTGACATGATCTGAGGGCCACTTTTAGCCTGTCTATCCACAAAACAGTGAGACGAGTAATTTTCATCAACTGACAATCAACTGAGATTTTTTTTCATTTGTGTGGTCGAGATCGGTCTTTATTACCTTTCTTTCTACCTTCAGCTAGAATAATTTGATTCTCATTCATTTTTTTTTTGGCTTGATTGTTAATTAAAATTGAATAGAATCGGTGAATGTATATTTTCATTTAAAAAGAAAAGAACAATTTTAATGCCAAGTTTGGGCTGACATTTTTATGATACTTGAAATATTTTCTACAAGCAATTTATTGTTTTCATTCGACGATTAAAGAAACACGAAAATGTAATTTACGATGGAAATTGGATGAACAAAATAGATCTTCATCTTTGTATTTTTCTGGGATTGGTGAGACGATTACAAAACTGTTGCAATAGAATCATTAAAAATCAACGAAAAACTCATGAACTGCTTATTTATGTATGATTGCTTGTTGTGTTCTTCAATTGAAGGAGAAGTCGTAGATTGATTTAATTTGATTGGCAAAATTTTTAAATTGATGAATGTTTTTGGCTAGGATTTTACTCATTATACATAGGCTTCTCTTCACATGTTCAGCTCTACTTCTTGATATATGTGTTCTGAAATATTCAGAACAAAATTACGAAAAATCAAAAATTCAAAGTGCACGAGTTTAAATGAAGCTCAAGATATCCAACAGAAATGAAACTGAAAGGTGAAATATGTTAAAAACATGAATATTAAGCGGAAAGTCACACATTCCATTTTCAAAAATATATTCAAACAATCAAGAAATTTCAGCACTTGCTTAAAAACATCACAATCTTCCTCAAACAATCAAAAAAAATCTCGAGAAATTTAAAAGTTTTCATTTACTACAATATCTATTAAGACCTTTCATTTCATTAAAATCACTAAATTTAACATCGAATATTTCTTGTTATAATGAAAACCTTTCAATCTCATTTCATTTTAAAATAACAAAAAAAAAAAGACACGAAAAGAATCTCAAATCTTCCACGAATTGCCATCAGCGAAAAGAAATTCTTCTTTCTATTTTTTGCAACAATAATTGGCATCGTGTGAACAACATGAGCATAAATTTGTGCTGAATGTCGCATATGTTTGAGCCCAATTTATTCTCATCTCGCTCTGACATTTTTTTCTTCAATATTTTTGTGATGATGCAAAGAAGCGAAAGAGAAAATAGGCAATGGATGGAAAGAAGTAGCTCGACTGGCATGTAAACAATGAAGCGCACTCACAAACAGTCGAGAAAAAGAAGTCACAAAGCGATAATTATCACACTTCCATCCACGAGATGAAATTTTTTTTCTTATGCTTGCAACATGCGCTTCATGTTTTTGTTTCTCGTGAGAATTAAACAATATGGCTTTACTGTTCTTTATGTTAATTCATGAATTCTTTATCTAATCAAAAAACAAATTTTTTTTTATATGGAACGATGTCAACAATGATATGAGGTCGACGTACTCTACATTTCATCTGTTTTGCATCTCGTTGAATCTCTTGCTCAATAGAATGAAAATTAATAAATTTTTCCATTCATTCTTGCTGCATAAATTATATAATTAGCACGAACGAATAAAAAAACAAAATAATAATAATGAACTTTCCGATTTTCTGCATTTCTAGGTCTTGTGGCATTTAGATGCATTTAGACGTTCCTTCAGACAGCTGAATAATCACAATTGCAGCGGATCAGAATGTATATTTTGTGCCTTAAAGGTAAGTAATTCATCTTTGCATTTTCTGGCATATTTTTCGCATAACTGGCGTGCAGTTATGGATGGTGATGATTTTTGATGGCATGTAATTTGAAATTGCCATCTTAAAGATTCAGTATCTAATTAGAATTAGGGGTTTCCCGGTTTTTATGGAACTATGGACTCTCAAGATTTAGAACTACAAAGTTGATCAAAAAACATGTCCAGTAAATTTGTTAAGCATTTTTTTTATAAATTCAGCATTGAACTCGTCGAGATTGCGGAAAGAAAAATGTTAGCAATTTCACAACCAATTTTGCTAATTTGACATAATTACGAGCTTTATAGTCGAGATTTTGATGTCATAAACGAGCTAGCTCAATTCAAATGGAACTAATCAAATCGCTACATGAACAAAAAATTGAGGGCTCAGACGTATTGACCAAATGGCTCTATTTTGCACTTTTTAACTCTTTCCTCATTTCCTCTTCTCCTCAAAAAAATCGACGTGATGAATTCCATTCACTGTTAATTTGATGAAGATTTATTTTTTAACGACAGTTAAATTCAATGTCGATTTATTTTTGTTGTGTCGCAAGTCAATAGATCTTTCCATTTACACAGATGCTTTGCGCTAAATGCTTAAATTAATTTTTTAATTTCATTTCTTCACGGTATCATGGACACTTCAAATAAAAATACTTTATTTCTTCATTTTGAGGCCAATTTTAGCATGTGTTACCGGTCAATTTCCGCGACTTATGTTTCCTATCCACTCATATGTGTCTTAAGAAATATTATTAGATATGCGGTTTGCATAACTTCAAGGAACTTTGTTGAGATAAAAAAAAATATTAAAGCGCAGCAAAGACACAAACCACCCAAGCGTCTACAGTCACGAGCAGAACATTTTCTATAGCACAAATAGCTTTACAGTCACACAGCAATAAAGTCACAAGCATAAATCATACCATTACGTAATTTGCATGAGCGAAGTAAATGAGAAAAAAAGGAATTGCAAAATGATGTCATAAATAGAGATTTAAATCTGTACAAAGTCTGACTTACTTCCTCATTAAAAGTCATAATAATAATCATAAAAAAGTTTCATTCTAGAATGTTCACTTAAATTCCCATTAAAATTTTGCTGTTTTGACAGATAGGACATGTTTAGTATTGTCTGAATGAGGAGGCGATAGTTTAAGAGTGCGTCGTACGTACATAATTGGTCAGGTTGTCGATTTAGTAGTAAAAAAAAAATTAAAAAAAAAACATACCTCGACCCTAGAAATTAAATTTGAATTTTGAGATTCGAACTCAGTTCTTGTCATTAATTTTTTCAATTGACAATATTAATTCTTGCCATTTAGAATAATTTTTGTCCATAACGTTCATCCTCAAAAAATACGCCATTACCATATTTAAGGACTATTCCAACTTAGACTAGCTTAAACTACTTAAATATTATTGTTATCTGACAAATTTCTCCATCTAAAAGGTCATTCAAGCAGAAAAGAAGTTAAAAAATTCTAACAGGTAGAGACAGAAAATTGTTTATTATTGTGCTGTGGACTATAAAAAAATATAAAAATAGAAAAGACTTAAATGCCTGAATAGAAAATGAACTTGAGGCAAATTTTTATGAGAAAAAGAAATTCTGGGTAGGAATAAAATTTGCATAAATTATTGGACGTGCTTTGCGTAAGAATCGCGATAACATTGAAGATATTATTTTACGCACATAAATTCATGCCAAAATATTCTATCAAATTTTATAAATCTCCGTCTATCCACCCTTGATTCTAGATGACTGCCTTGTTAAAATTATTTTCTCATTCATTTACTGCTCTCATTTCTGCCTTATTTTATATTTGCAAAAATTAATAAAAAAAAATAAAGACTACAGCCTGAAGAAGACAATTGGTGGGAAAAGTCTGTGGAAATTTTCTTATGAATTCATTAAACTTTCATGGCATCAGCCAGTTCATTCAGCTTTTTTTTAGCATTTAAAAGAACAAAGGTCAATGAATTCTTCGCGTCTACCCATTGCATCTGACAAACACCTCGATTTATAAGTTTGTAATCGTGCGTTACTGTTGCTGCTGCAATATTGTCTCAAAATAATTGAATCTCTTTGAGGTTGGTTATCAAATGACGTCTTATTATTAAAAGATTTGTACTTTGCATGAAATTCTCCAGTCATGGTTCTAAAAAAGTGTCAAAAAATTAACTGACGTCATTTATGGACTGTCCCTTTACATTATTGGAAAAAATTCTTATCTTGATTAGAATGAAACATAAAAGTTTATTGAGAGATGTAATAGACCTCACATATTCCGCATTATATATATTCGAGATTCTCTACGCTTCTTTATTGAACATGAATATTAAAGCTGTGTAATTCATCATACGTTAATGGCCTTTTATGATAGATGCACTTTAGAGTTACTCGACTTCTTCTTTAACTCTCATGCAATGAAAATTTAATTAACATTTCAAATCGGATATTTTTTCATTCCTTCATAAATTTAAAAATTTTAAATTCGTTATGAATATTCTATAGATATGTCATGCTACGGACATTTCAGTGTCGAATTTTTTCGACATGTTTAAATTTAGTCGACCTAGCGTTTGAATATTTTAAAACCGTTAAAAATCTGTCAATTTTAAGATTTCAAGCATTAATATTTAAATTTCTGTTTTTTTCTGGGATGATTTTTGCTAAACTTAGCTAAACACGAAGCTGAGGTTTAGAATCGTTTGCCCAAGCTTTGTTTTTGCCAGTGTTTGTAAGAAATAATCATGAAAATTTAACGGTTTTTTGAAATTCAAAGCAAAAAATAACGGACTTTTCGACGTGTCCGTAGCATGAGATATGTATGCAGTCTCTAGTTGCATAAGATATTCTCAGTTAATTATTCTTCCGACTCACTTTCATGGCTTTTATCTTATCATTCATAATAGGAAAGATAAACTTGTTGCGCATGAATGATATTCCCGCTTCATTTCCAGAAAAACACGCTGTTATTTGGAATCAACATGTGCTTTACATGTTTATTTGTTCTTATATTCAAGTTCTTGAAAATAATGTTCTCATTTTGGGTTGGAAGCTTGAAGTAAACTTGTAGTTTCCTTTTTAACTTACATTTGCTGTTCTAGAAATAGTAAATATGTAAATAATTCCTGTTAATTCACTTTGTTTTGCTTAAAATTAGTAAAAAATTGTTAAATATGGAAAAATAAATCAGCAATTTTTTTCATTTAAAACAAAGAGTTTCAAATTTTTAAAAGCCGTTAAAAATCAAAACTTATGAATTTTGAAAAAGAAATGACAAACAACAATAAATTAAGCTACAAAAAACGCTTCCTGGAGTGTTCTCATCATCAACATTCATACTCATTTCATTAAAGATTCTATTTACAATGCGTTGCATCACACAGACAACAGTTTATTTAACTATACTAGAAGGAAAAAGTTAAAAAGCGATTATAGAATTTTGTCTCCACCTTAAAAGGCACTTTTTTCAAGAACAACTACTTTAGGAAAGAGAACTATATAGTAATAATAAAAATTTATGTTATTTTTTTCAGTGAGAGAAACTTTTTCTTCATTCATTCAATATTCAGATCGTGAAACTAATTTGAAATTTGTTTCATGTAGAACAGCAGTAAGAAACAAAGAGAGAGAAAGAAAAGAATGGAACAATATGGAAATTAAATTATTCAGATACATGAGCATATTTCATAAGTATCAAGAATAATGTTATTGACTATTATTTAGCATAAAATGGCAATTATTTATTGATATAGTTTGAGAGTAAAATTGAGCAATTTATTATAACGGTCAAGGATGATTAAGTGGTCAACAAAAAGTGCCACTTTTAAAATAAAATATAAAAATGAAGAAAAAGTTATCGTAATTATAGAGTTGATAATTAAAATTAATTTCAATTGCACTTATTAATTCATAATTAAGAGAATTACAGACACTTTTGCATAATAATGTCATTAGGAAATCTTATGTTGAGGTGGAAGTCTGATTGAGTTAGATGTTGAGAAATGATGTGGTTTGAGGCTGTGATTAATTATGAATTGAAATGGAATTGATTCTGAAATTGTCATCTGAAGTCTACGAGGAATTTTAAAGTCATAGTTCATGTCTACTTATGCCCAAGATGATAAAGAACATTTCAGAAGTCAACAATTATCTTTTCTATGAAGAAGTGAGTTCGATTCCTACTCTAGAATAATTATACTAAAGGTATGTGCAACACAGCTTCATCGTACCCACAAGTCAATCAAAAAACAAGTTGCTGTGCTTGCAAAAAGTCAACAATTTCTTTCTAAATCACTCAAAGTCTCACCAATTATTAAATCAAATCAAGCAAAAAAGCTCAAAAATTAATTTGCATCACAAATCCATACGAAATAAAAATACCAAAATGAATTCCCTCTCAAGTACCTAATTGAAATTTCGAAACGGTAGTCAAAGAGTTTTAAATATTCTCGCTTTACGTTCGCAATTCACATTGACTTCATAATGATGCAACGCAGAAAATGCTCAATAGAAGAAATAAACGACACAAGAATGTCTGGCGCGAAAAGATTAATGGTGAAATTATTTTGCAATCAAGACATTCCAAACAGTGAACCAATAGATGATTAAGTTAAATTCTATAAGATCAAGAGAATTGATGATTATATCCAGAAAATTCTAAGAATTAACTTTTCTTTGTTGGATATTCACAAATGTTCATACAGGGTGCGATCATCCTAAATTGCACCTTCAAAAAAAGATATTTTTTTTCTGCAAAAAATTAAGAATCTTCTTTGCATTCATGTTCTGATGATAGTTTAGAAAATTTTCATATTTCTTTTACCTGTTCCTTACAAATCTCAACATGAAGCATCCATCGTTGGCTTCAAATATTGATGTTTGTCCAACAAGCAATCACTTCTCTCTTCTTTCTTACCTTATTCTTATTTACACTGATACACACATTAATGCACGTGTGTTGATCA